GATTTGCTTGCGTCTACTTTGCTTTCAATGCAAGAAAATTCAGTCCGAGACTTGTTCCAACATTTTTTGGTAAAAATCAAAGGTATTGCATCAGTTTCAGCTGTGAGAGGATGACGTTTGCTACAGAGGGTGCACATAAACGCCATCATGCTTTGATAAGAAAACTGATTAGAAAATATCCGTCCCTGGCATCGTATCTGGTATCGTCCTCCGCATCTGCTCAGGCACAGATATAGCGTCCCTAAACGCTTTGTTCACTTCCCTGTGCGCTCCAAAAAACACTGCATACTACTAAAACTGACACCAAGAGCAACTTTCAGTTCTCAGATCGCCTCTCACGACATTCTCTAGCCATGTGACGTGACTCCACTCACCCGATGCGGCGCTGTTCGCTGTCCGAAAGCAAGAAAGCCATTGACTAATGACACTTGCCGGCGGCTCATATATACACCCAGTGACTCATTCACGCGACATACCAACCCCTGACCGGTCCGTCACTGGCAAAGGTGAGCGCGCGATGGTATGCTGTGAGCTGATGCAAGACCTTATAGTAACACAGTGGGTGGCAGCATCTTATTTGCCAAGTTGAATAACTGATTGCAACAATAGTAGAACTCCAATCGCATTTTGTTAACACATTATCACTGGGTAAGTGTGGCGGAAAGCCTAGGTAGACAACACTCCCCACTCGTTTTGGATTTTTCTTGAGAACTATACAAGAAATATGAAACATTGATTGTCGGTGCAAGCCTTGGATCTTTTGAATTAGTTAACAAAGAAAATGAAAGGTGCTTATTGACAGATGGTGTGGTTGTGCCCTGTTTTGTAAGACTTTAATTTTCTCGGCGTCATGATTTCGGGTAGGCCCACCCATGGGGAAATATCGGCCATGCATTACGAAAACTGTTTTCACGTTTGAGGTCAAACAATATTTTAAGTTTCACTCGTTTTAATACCAACGAAGGTTTGGACGGTTGAATTTGAAGTCACAAATAGTATGGGGTTAAAATAGGAACTATTTAGTACAATCCGGCACTGAAGAGATCGTAAAATTCGTGGGGATGCAGTTCACTTGTAAATAAAATACATACAATATTTGTATTAGTCTCTTGATTGTACCCGCAAGAGAGTAATGGTTTTAGTTGATGCAGCAAGTACTTCTGAAGGAAATTGTATGTCGTACATGACATACACAATATTTCATAATGTTTGACAGCCCTAGTATGGTCTGCATTAAACACTTGCTTGCTTTGAAGATCACATTCTGGCTACATTTTGAACTAGTCTTTTACTCGTCTGAGAATAATTTCATCGGAGTGCACTGAGGCAAAATCACACCATATTTCAATAACTTAATTGTTTTTCAACTAACGTGCGACCAATTTAAATTTAATTTAAATTTGATTTTTCATCAGTTTAAAAGCAAAAGTCACTTCAACGACAGCAGACACACTGGAGTGCCTGGTGCCACTTGCACACAGTGCCTGGTGCCACTGGAGTGCCTGGTGCCACTTGCACACAGTGCCTGGTGCCACTGGAGTGCCTGGAGTGCCACTTGCACACAGCTCGTGCGGTCATCTCAAGCAGCCCACACTCTGAAGCCACAACCTCCGACGACCCTCCATACAGAATATGTACGCTTCTTCGTATTTCATTGCTGTGGTTGTCTTGTTTGCTCTTGCACGCTTTGCCTTTCCGCTGTTGCACACTTTCAGTTTCTCGTTCTGTTTCCGGTTTTCAAGAATCACAACATGGACTGGGCTGTTTGTGGACACTGCCTACACCTTTCTTTTTTGGTAGATGTCATCTCGTTAGATCCTTCAGCATCGGGGGCTGAATCAACGAAACGCGCTAAGTACGTGTGATGCTGTCCGCATGGGGTTGTACGGCCGTAGGCGTAGCCAAGGGGGGGGGGGGGGGCGCAAACGAGGCCATGTGCTCCCCTAGAGGCCAACGGGCCCTGTGGCCTTTTGAGGACATACTGCGGGCCTCAGTCGACATTTGTGTGGAACCTGTCCACCTGAAGAGGGCCTCTATCGGCATTTAGATGGCCCCAGCGATCTGCAAACGCCCCTCTTCAGCATTCAAGGCCCTGTCGGCATTCGGCAAGGCATTCAAGGCCCCCATTTTTAACACTTTTACCCTTACCTGGAAGGTGCAACTGGGCGCTAATGAAATTATTGTGAAAGCACCAACGGGCTGTATGTAATGGCGATAAACGTGATGATTATACGTGTATATCGTGGATAGCTGTACGCAAGGAAGCTGTCAGAAGAAAGGTCAGACGAATATTCAATGTCAGGCGCCCGATAAAGTCAGTAATTTCACGGCCGGAGTTGCAAATGAGGTACAACGGAAACATCTTTCATAAGTAATCGCAGGATCAGTATCATAGCTCAGACATCAAATTCCAGACAAGTTTTTCGAATAATACGGTTGCCTCACTTACACTGCATGGTAGGATCCCACAGGAAACAGGTCTCGACCATTAGCGTACCTTTCCGTTTGCCAGCAGTCCGGGACGAGATTGGGCTGCTTTGCACCGTCCGGACCTAGTTCACAGATAATGCTTGAACGTGTTTGAAATGTTGCGCTAATGCATCCGACACTCACATTTCCAGGCACGAGTTGAACTTTCACTGCCTTTATTACCCACACGGCTGTGCCGCAACACAGGCCGTGAGAAGCTCTGTGACCATAAGGCAAACTTCGCATTCCTTCCATGGTGTGCGTCCCCGACGTGCGGTCTCTGTCCCCCCTCCCCCATACAATTATGTCCCGCAAATCTTGTAGGAAATTTAATCTTTGTTTGTAGACTGAAGTTGTTCTCGTCAAGGACTTCAAACACATGTCGGAGTTTATGCTCGTTTTCATGGAGCTTGCGGACCGATCCCCGTCTCGGCCACAGGCAAACCTAATTATATGAAGTGTGCTTCAGAGAAGGAGATACTGCATTATTGCTGACCCTGTATCAGATGCTTCTCAGGTGTGTGCGTTGGCTTCCGTCGCAGGTCTGGAATCCACAGTATTGGTATTGTGACGTGCTGCATGTGCATGCCTTGGCGGTTGTGCATGTACTGTTGGTGTCGCATACGGTAGTGGCTTGCATGGTGGTTGCTTGGTGCATGTGGTCATGGACGCTCTCGTTGCTGCATGCTGCGTGCCCTTATGCCAGCTCCCAGGGCTGCATGCGGTGTATGGCTAGTTGCCAGCTAATGAGTCCTTTGCATGTGTTGCAGACTGGGTGTCTAGTTCGACGGTGTACTGCTGCCTGAATAAACCACAGCTTGGCAGTTGTCGCAGTATCCAAAGAAGGGATCATGGTGCAACGTGTCACCACGCTGACAAGCCCTTACAACGTGGATAATAAGAGACCAAGGGTGATCAAAGAATCGCTGTTTGAATGGCAGGTAGAGTCTTTCTAGAGTCTTGCAAAGGCCCATGCTGATACGCATCCATTGCTTCTGTAGGGAGACTTTTTGGCGAGAGCAGGATACATGTGAGACGATGAAGTCAAGTACCGTTTGCATAATTCAGAAAACAGGCCGTGTACGCGACCCGTTCAACTCTCATGAAGTCGGCGCTCTCGCACACAAATGATCCCTTCAAAAGGCCTCTTTTATTGGCAGTCGGATACGTCTACGTATTTTCGGTGCATCCACTCTAATCGCAAAAATGTCAGGCGACCCTTTCGGTTTGAAACAAATGTGATTAAAACCAACGATGGCGGATGCACATGGAACAAAGGCGTACCCAATGATCATGCTGTGCTCTCAAGGATTAGCTACTAGTCCAGCAAACAAGGTGACTTTTTCACGTTTGTGGTAGAGAATGACATAAAATGGCCTGTCTACAGCGAAGGTCGCGGATTGAATCCCGATTCTTGCTACTATTATCACTGTCGCCGCCGCAGCTGTCGTGCCCTCCTCATTGACCTCCATCACCGCCTTATGGATGATGTTGCTGACAAAGGTCTTGTCCGACGATATGCCGTTGAAGTTTGCCCCCCGTTGGAAAATCCGCTTGATGCCCAGGCTTCTCATGTAGAAGGGCATCACATAGAGACCCTCGATCTTGAACGACGGCATCACCACACGCACGGTTCGCTGACGTAGCTGACTGTGTAGCCGGGTCACGTTCAGGCCGTCGAGAGACTTCCGCATCAGGGTCACGCCAGCCATGGAGCGACTGCGCGGGCGCAGCACCAGCAAGCTGTAATCTTGGTTTTGGTACGGTAACGCAACGACATCAAAGTGTGGTCGGGCGGCAGTACCAAACTCTGCCTCCACCATCATCATGTCTACCCGCCGATCACCATCCGACGTCAAGAACGGCTTCTGCCCGTGCTTCTTGAAGCCATAAAGCCAAGTGCCCTTGAAATACACGGCGCTTAAAAGCACCAGTTGAGCATTCCTGACGTCGGCACTTGACACCAGGTCCTTGATGTGTCCGCGCGTTGCCACCGACACCTGGTTGTTGATGACCTGAGCAGCCTTCAAGGCGTTGCTGGGCAGCACCTCCACTCCGGCTCCGTAGTAACGCGCCAATAAATCGCTGAAGGTGCGGCGCACGCTGAAGCTGCGCTTGCGATAGATCCTGCTGAACACTGACGCCCTGACGCCGTCACTGGTTCCAGACAAGACGGCCAAGGCCGAGCGGTAGCCGTCGAGGAAGGATCTGTCGTTTGGACCGGACATTCCCAGCACAGGCGTCATCTGGGTGGAGTAGACAGACATAACAATGTCATATCTCTCCTCCGTGTTTCATCAACAAAGATCACAAGGCGATAAATCATGTTTTATGTCCTCTGCAAGGTGAGCTGGCACATATGCCTCGAACCAGTGCAGATAGCACGCCTCACTGAACATCCATCATCTGTGGCCTCACCTCGGCTCTGGTTGTGCCTTCGGCGCCCAGCCAGACCTGCGACATCAGCAGCGACATCAGGAACGGCGAGATCACTTGGTTGTTCGTCGGATTCGACGTCACCCCCTTGAGCAGCTTCATGTCCAGGCCAGTGGGCACAGAGGCGCCTCCCAGCGTGGCCAGCAGCAAGAGTGGCGCCAGGCAGGCGCCTGAGAAGGCGGATCATCTCAGGTCTCACAGAAACCCACGCAAGTTTCATTTCTGGCGATGGCCGGCAGCGATGTGCGGCCTCGGTTGTTCTAGCGGGGTACGATAGGACCGCAACAGAGTTAGCGTTGGTTAACTGGCGATGAGCTATAAAGCTGCTAAGAATAACACTGCTCTGTGATGGTTGGCAGGTCATGACAACAAATATAAGTTTGCCGAGGTTGACACCACCACCACCGCTGGCCGCTCCGGTGCATTGCTCGTAACATCACCTATCGCCTCACTTGTTACCGATCACCGCCGCATGGATTATGAGTAGAAGACCTCTTTATAATTACCTTTCCAGGATATAGTTCAATAAAATCCTGAAATTTCAGATAGGCTTTAAACAACATCCCTTCTATTTGACAACCTCAAACTTCCGTTCTTTTCAGTTACCAATAACACAAATGTATGGCATACTGATATGTGTGAACCCATATTCCAACAGCGCTTCTGTTACAAGATGCAATTGCACCGTAAAAGAAACGCACTCACGTCGTTGTAAATAGGTGGGATCTGCGCAAAATCATTTTTGGGAATGAGAACGTAAAACGTTGAGAAATTCCCTTTATTTAGTGAGAAACTCTTTGTGTCTTGCGACTTTCCGTTCAGGTGGCAATAACTCTCCAAAGTGCTTGCCTTACATGGTCCATGGAAGACAAGGTCGCAGTAGGGATGCATTAATCGAGCCAGCCTTTTCCTATGTGGTGTTGCGGCCAAATACAAAGAGTAAGTTCAGCGATATTTCGGGCTTTGTTTAAACTGCTGGAGTTGAAACGATAGTTTTTGTATGGATTTCTGCGTCTTGTGGAAAAGTAAAGCGTAGAGTTGGGGATTACACCAACTTTGTTAGCATTGCCATTCGACTATCAAAACTGTTCAAGTTCCTGTGGTATCACCTAATGTTATACCCAGTCCACCCCTAATCCGCCGAGTTCCATCCGTGGAGCATTTCGTAGCCCACAGATTATTCAACATGTGAACGATTTTAACGTCCGCGTGATAAAACGGGTCGGCTCCAAGGAAACAGGAATATGGTCATCTTAATGAGACGAATGCATGTCTGTTGGTGGCTTTGTACCTTTATATAGGTATATCGACAACCCAGAAATCTACATTGATATGTAAGTGAGTCAGTCCGCTCGTCAAACCACTCTAGCGGCGTGTGCCAGCTCTCACCGGTATTGCGCCTCGTCATGGCCTCGTAGTGTCGATTGGGAGAAGAAATAAACCTGTAGTTGATGTCCGGTCCTGTTCACTTCCAGAAGTGACGATAGAATGAAGGCAGGATCTGTGGGATATGACACAACACGCTGTGTAACTTGAGCCATGGGATCAGTTTCAAGGTTTTGACCGTAGGTCGACTGGTTTATAACACCCCATGTAACAGCACAGCTTGACGTAAGCTGTTCTGTAGAGGCATATGGTGAAGCTTTTTGCCCGATGTTATTTGCGCTTTGTGAGATAAAGCCCGTGCAGTCTTTAAGTCAGTGATGTTTACCCAAAGCGTTCTGTATGGTCTAGAAAAGCTCTGCATGTTCTATAAAAGCTCTGCATGTTCTATAAAAGCTCTGCATGTTCTATAAAACTGCCATGGCTATACAATTGCTGCATACCATTTGAAATGCTATAAGTCTGAGAATGTAGCACATACTTTGTTTGCAATGCCAGAAAAGCTATTTCGTGATCTCGTTTGACATTTTGGTAGAAGATCAAGGGTAATGCATTAGTTCTCAACTGTGAGAGTATGACTTCAGTAGCTAGTTTGAAGGTTTTGGCTCATGTCACACCAGTGCTGAAAAATGTGTTTCCCCGTGGAAAACTGCTTTCCTGCTGAAAGCGTGCATAAACGCCATTATGCCCTGGTAGGATGGATACAAAAAGGATACATTTGCCCTACGCATCGCATCCGATATCATCCTTCCCATCGACCTAGCAGCATGTATAGCTTTCCTGTAAGCTTTGCTCGTTTTTCATTGCTCTCGAAAAACACTGCATGCTACAAAAGTCGATACCGAAAGCAATTTTCATTTCTTAGATCCCCAATAAGGTATTGTCTAAAATCATGTGGTTTGACACTACTCACCTGAGCGGCGCTGTTCACTACCCGAAAGGAAGGAAAACATTGACTGATGACCCTTGCTGACGGCTCATATATGCACCTAATGACTCATTCACGCGACACATCAACCCCTGACCGGTCCGTCACTGGCAAAGGTGAGCACGCGGTGGCATGCTGTGGGCTGATGCAAGGCCCTATGATAACACATGAGGTGACAGGATCTTATTCGCCTATTCAATAAATGATTGCAATAATTGCAGAACTCCAATCGCATCTCGTTGGCACATTATCACTGGGTAAGCATTGGGGGAGCCCGGAGTGGCCTCCACTCCATAGTCCTTTCCGGATTTGTCTTGAAAACTACTCAAGGTATATTCAATATTTATATGTAGGTGCAAACCTTGGTCCTGCTGTATTTGTCAAAAAACACGAAAACTACTATTTGATATATGGTATGGTTTTGTCATGTTTCGCAAGGCATTAATTTTTTCCGGGGTAGGCCCGCCGGCGGGGAATCTCGCCAACTCCCAACATTACTTGAGTGATCTATCTAGCCAGGTCTGCCCCGTTTGCGTGCGCTATCTCTTCACGTCCAAACATGAACCAAGCAACATAAGCCACTCGGTGTGCGTTGGCCAGCCAGTGGATGTGGGTGTCGAGCTTAGATTTAAGTCTCAATGAAGTCTCAAGGTCACCGTCCTATCCACGTGAGCTGGCTTGGCAGTCGTCCTGTCCACCTGAGCTGGCGTGGTCACCGTTTTGTCCACCTGAGCTGATGTGGTCAACGTCCTGTCCGTCTGATGTGGCGAGGTCACCGTCCCGCGCACGTGAGCTGGCTTGGCAGTCTCCTATCCACCTGAACTGGGGTGGTCACCGTCCTGTTCACCTGAGCTGGCTTGGCAGCCCTCCTGTCCACCTGAGCTGGCTTGGCAGCCTTCCTGTCCACCTGAGCTGGTTTGGCAGCCGTCCTGTCCACCTGAGCTGGCGTGGTCACCGCCCTGTCTACCTGAGCTGGCTTGGCAGCCGTTCTGTGTACCTGAGCAGGCGTGGTTGCCGTCCTATCCACCTGAGCTGGCTAGGCAGCCGTCCTATCCACCTGAGCCGGCTTGGCAGCCTTCCTGTCCACCTGGGCTGGCGTGGTCACCGCCCTGTTCACCTGAGCTGGCTTGGCAGCCGTCCTATCCACCTGAGCTGGCGTTATCACCGTCTGTCCACCTGAAGCGGCGCTGCCACCGTCTGTCCGCCTGAACCGGCGCTGCCACCGCCCTATCCACATGGGCCGCTATTGGCCATGAAACTGCTCCTGCACTCAGAACCTTTTGTTCCAAAACCTCGTTGTGAACGAAGCTCCTCAGGTTCCCTCCCCCCTCCCCCCCCCCCCACGCCACCCGAGCTGAATGAGTGAGCGCCACTAGCATTTGAACCCCATGGTGATAACGTCTTGGTTTCCCACGATGGAGCGCCAAGCTCGAGCAAGAACATCATCCACATGCTTATCTGTAATTGTTTGCCCTGGATTGGCTTCACACTGGAAGCTGACTTGACCGGTCCGTGCTCTCTTCAGTGGTCCGTACATGGGCAGTTTCGGGGTCTGTACCACGTACGAGCTGCGCGGTGGGATTGTGTACTGTATGACAACAAAAGTTCCTTCTTGGATACTCCACTGTTCACGTCAGTTAAATATATTGTCGTGCAATGTCATGTTATTAAAGGTTTACTGCAAATCCACACATCATAGCCATCAGAGCAGTATACCAAGTTACACCATGCTGCAAACTTTAATTGAGACTTACATCTAAGCTCGACACCCACATCCACTGGCTGGCCAACGCACACCGAGTGGCTTATGTTGCTTGGTTCATGTTTGGACGCGAAGAGATAGCGCACGCAAAGGGGGCAGACCTGGCTAGATAGATCACTCAAGTAATGTTGGGAGTTGGCGAGACAGCTCGACAAGCTTATGTGCGCATCGTAAACACGCGCCCGGGGTGGCCGGTCGAACATCCTTCTCCCGGTAAGGGAGGGGGCAATTTGATCCTTTGAGATCTCAAAGGCTAAACAAGCTAGCGACACCAAATGCACAAGGTGTGTTGGCCTGTATGTGAACTCGTTTGTTTCAAAATGTGAGACTCTTAGGTCATGACCTTTGGATCAAATAGGGTCAAACAAGGCCAAACTCCAGATTGATATTCAAGATACTCTCAGACTTTCTCGTGCAACCCTCGTGAGCCTAGAAAACTGTTCTGAGCAAAAGCTTACTGAAGCCCATTAAAGATCAGTGACCTTATGAGACTGCCTTGATGGTTTAGGCCTGAGTTTCATCTGTTACGGGTCAGCGACCTTACGAGGTACGACTAATTTTCTGACACCAAAAGATTCGCTATTGAATTGTTAACTGCTATGCAAATTTGTCGCAGCCATCCCACGTTGTTCGGCAATCATTCCTGAAAAACCTTCGGGGTGGGGGTGGGGAAGCCAAATTGACCGCCACCCGATTAATGCATGGGGTAAGCCCGATCATTTGTGGCGTAAGTGGGCGGCGTTACCGTGATTTCTCTAATAGCGTTTACCAATGGCTCAAATTATTAAGGACCATATTGACGCTGAAATGTTTCTTTGTTCTTCATTTCAGGCACTACAATGATGGTAATCAACACACTGGATATAGTTTCCAGATTTCCTGGCAGCCGCGGACATGGAAGTCATGGTCTTACAACAGCGCACCCAGAAATAGAAAAGGCAAATTATTCATGAGAAACCAGTGAAATCTAGATCACCCTCTATGTCCGTCATCCGCGCAACCTTCAGCGGAAAAGGTCAGCTCAACTTCCTTTGTCAATATTATGCTCAGGGGAGTGGCCGACATTACCCCGTGGTCGGTCCCACGCCGTCTTCGCCTGTAATCCGAAAACTAACAAATTTGTGGAGTAGTGTTCTCATTAGCCCACAAATGCGACTAAATGTGGCAAGCTGTAATTTCTGATGTCTCGAAGCCTCAGGAAAAGTGCACTGCCTATGCTTGTCATAACTGCATTTTACTCCGTTGATTGATCATCTGACTCCCGTTTAAGATTTGATTTACATATATAAGATTAAGGTTGCAAGATTTGGGTTAACGTACGCCTTCTCCCAATCTAATACAGCCCACACATTGCATCTAATTAGCATATTAATGCAGGCTTGTCAGTGCTGGGCCAGTGTCCAATGGTGAAGGGGCGCAAAGTGAGGTGAGGTGGGGGTGGGGGTGGGGGTTTTGCAGTGGAAACGACCCAGCCCGCCCCAAAACACATTAAACTCTTCAGTGTTGTCCCGCTTCCTTCTCAAAGTTGGTGAGTGTGTGTGTGGGTTTGGGGGGGGGGGGGGGAGAGGAGAGGGAGGGCGGGACTCCCCCTCTGAATACGAACTACACCCCTGCCAGTGGTGATTATTAGAACTAGGCACGTCTTGAAGTGCCCGGCGTCAAGTGTGCACCTCCACCACCCATTCAAATTCCCTTATGTACCCATTAATGGTGCAATTACCAACATATGTCATAGAACATGCCAATTGCGCCACACCACTGATGCATCGCAACATTCCATCATGATAAGTGGCGTAGCCGGACTTTCAACGTGGGATTTGGGAGTCTTGAACAGTACTTTCAAGAAGGTGCTTCCAAACCCTCTTTGAAGCCTCAAGTGTTTCACTTCCCTATATTTGTTTGCTGTAAACAGTGTAAGGCAAACACTGGTCCTTCAGGCACAATGCTTTGGTAAAGAGTTGGTTCTGTGTGGTTCCAGGGGATTTAGCCTCGAGTAGGGAATGGGGTCTCACTTTCTCTCCAGGAAGTGTCAGATACACTGTGGCGCCTCAGTGGCTGTTCTCATGATCATCATAAAATTAAACTACTAACAATCAAGAGTCCCCTGACATTTCAAGACTACTTGTACCATAAAATGTCATGACGCAGTAACAGTTAGTGACTTTTAACTGTTAACAATGCATTTTCCTGCCGTTCTTCACCGAGATAACCTTTCATATTCTTGGAAATTTGCCAGCCACAGCTATCAGTGTTGTGTGATGGATAGATCGATAATGCTCCCTCCCTCAAAATCCCGTCAGACTTCTGGAGCTGGTTGACTCTGCTTGGTAACTAGAAGTGTCACTTTCCTCTTCTTTTGACGAGAAACGCACTGTTCTGCACTACCCGAATCTGAAGCATGTATCCGATCTGTCAGGTAAAGAAACCCCACAAATGCCTACAGTTTAACACCTGAGTTTTACATCTAATTATGTAACTAAAAGTTGCTGATACCGCAATGCAATGTCATAAAGCACCAAAGGTGTTTAGGTTGTCATCATTGCAACCAGCTGCACACCTGTTACTCTATAACCACAACTGCACGTTTTGGGGAGATCGGTATTGATTTCATGGATGTTGACTGCGAAGAAATAACCAAAAATAGATGTCGGCTGATCAATTTTGGAAAACTCCCGTTGTCTATATTGAAAGCTCATCTATTAAATCCATTATAAAGGTAAATGATGGACTCCCCCAATTCCTTACCAGTACGACTTGAAAGGCCCAGCTGTCCTATTTTACCTGAGTTTGAAAGCCTACTTGGATGTTGTCTCAATGCTGCTAATTTGAAACATGGCTGCATGCAAAACAGAATTCAGAACATTGATGTTATTTCAATGGTATTGTACGGAGCGGAAAAGTGAAGGATATCGTTTAAACACTCAAAATGTTCTGGAAAGTCTCAGCTGCGAAGCCATATCAACATATTGCCAAAAGTGATCCAGGCAGTGCTACTGCCTTAACATTGAAACCACCGCCGCCGCTATCTTACTGGGTGTACGCTCAAATATTTTTCTATAGATAAGACAGTAGTATAAGCATTACTGGTCGGAAAACAGGAGAATGGAGTGTCAGATATCCTAATGCACCGAACAGCTTACAAATATTTTCCTTTCCTCTATCCCGCCTTCGGAACAGTGAGGAACTAGTGCGGTCGGCCCGAAAAAGTCACTGCCGGCCAAATGGGTGCGCATTAATTACCCAGTGGTGACGTT